TAAATTTAAATATTTTACTTCTATCAGTCTCTGCAACTTGACTGTTTGTTTAAAATACCAAAATAAAGAGGGAGAGTCGGAAAAGGACACATTAATCTTTGCCTGATAGCAAAATGATTAGACTAATAAAGTGCATGTGTGTGCTTTATATTCACAATAGTAACTTGATTAGATTTATGTCGTTCTATTCCTGCGGTTTCCTGTCTCTAACTCCAAGGCAACACACACACACACACACACACACACACACACACACACACACACACACAGCTTCTACTTCGCATTTAGATACCAGAAGCTCATAAGAGATTTAAACAGTGCTACGAATTTGCAAACATGTGCTTGAATGTCACTGAATATTAAAATATGATCCATTCAGGTAATTATATGAGATTTTTAAAAATGCATGTGTGGATATTACACACCAGTGGTAGACGGAGTACACAAATCCTGTACTTGAGTAAAGGTGCAAACATCCTTTATAAAATATATGACTAAAAATAGAAATTCTGAAAAAAATGTATATCTTAATTTGAGTTAAAGTACAAAAGCACTTGCTACTCAAGTATAAAATGTGAAAGTATTGCAAGGGGGCGGGGTTGTGTCCTCTCCAATTTCTGGAGGAGGCTAAATTGCCCCACCCCCCAAATAATTTGCTCTAAATACATCCAAACTTTGCTTTTTAACAGTGTGTTCTGATTTCTTTAGGTTGTTAAATTCAACCATAAATACACTATATGGACAAAAGTATTGGGACACCTACACATCACACCCACAGGAGTTTTTATGAATCCCATTTTAAATCCATAGGCAGTAACATGGAGTTGGTCCCCCTGTGCAGCTGTAACAGCTTCTACTCTTCTGGGAAGCTTCCACAAGATTTTGGAGAGTGTCTGTGATTTTTGCTCGTTCATCCAGAAGAGCATTTGTGAGGTCAGACACTGATGTTGGACGAGAGGGTCTGGCTCACAATCTCCGTTCTAGTTCATCCTATAGGTGTTGAATGGGGTTGAGGTCAGGGCTCTGTGAGGGCCAGTCAAGTTCTTCCACACCAAACTCACCCAGTCGGGCCTTTATGGAGCTGCTTTGTGCTCTGGGGCTCAGTCATGCTGGAACAGGAAAGGTTCTTCCCCAAACTGTTCCCACAAAGTTGAAATTGTACAGTTGTCCAAAATGTCTTGGTGCTGAAGCATTAAGATTTCCCTTCACTGGAACTGAGTGTTCTAGACCAACACCTGAAAAACAGCCCCATATCATCATCCCTCCTCCACCAAACTCTACAGTTGGCACAGTGCAGTCAGGCAGGTAACGTTCTCCTGGCATTCGCCAAACCCAGACTCGTCCATCAGACTGACAGATAGAGAAGCTGATTCGTCACTCCACAGAATGCGTTTCCACCGCTGCAGAGTCCAGTGGTGGCGCTTTACACCACTCCATATGACGGTTGGCATTGTGCTTGGTGATGCAAGGCTTGCATGCAGCTGCTCGGCCACAGAAACCCATTCTGTCACAAACGTGTGTAAAGGCAGGCTGCGTGGCTAGGTGCTTGATTTTATACACCTGTGGCAATGAGACTTGATAAAACACCTGTATTCCATGATTAAGGGTTGTGTCCCAATAATTTCGTCCATATAGTGCATTTCTTTTGAAGTCGTATCGTTTTTAAAGAACTATGGCTTAAACAGAGAGGATCTTCGGTTTAAATTCTTATTTTCCATCACATGCTTACCTCCCTGAGCACAGACTCATGGGAATTGCAGTCCGTGTACAGCCGGCATCTGTCATGTTCCTTTACTGCCGCAGAGCCAGCTCCACTTTTCTAATGTTCAAGACTGTCAAGGATGTGTAAAAGTGAGGTAAACGAAGCAGGATAGCTGTGATAATGTAAGACACCGCCAGCTTGTTTTCTACCACAGGCTGTAGCTCCACCCTGGATTAAAAAGGCTAACACTGGAGCCTCGTTAGAGCAAACGAGCTAGCTAGTTTAGTAAGTTTAGCAGTTTATTTACTTCATTAAATCTAGAAAAAAAAAGCTACTAGTGTTGAACTTATCTGTAAATAAACGCTCTCGATCGTGTCTCGGTCTGAACATGATTTTGACTCAGTCTTGTCTCAGTCTTGAAGTAGGGTGGACTTGGAAATTGTTGTTGAGACCACTCACTAAGACCACTCTCACTTTTTAAAGCCTCTATATCTCGAAAACTTTCTGCAGGTTTACACACTACCTGTCTATCTACTAGGCACAATGACAGCGAGTGTGTTTACGTGCACTTAATAATCCGATAACTACAGAAAATTATTTTGTCAGTAATCTGATCAACATGTTTACATGCTTTTGAGTAATCAGATAATGCAAAAGTCTACATGAGTCAGGCAATAATTGGATTTCTGCTTTATGACCAGCCAATAAACTCACAGAAGAAGATGTGACGTAAATATAGCGTAAAACTTGAACTTCATGCTGCAGCATTTTTTTTAAACATTGCATCACTTTACCTAAAAATATGAACATACACCATCTAGAAGATGAAGGAAAATACTTTATTTCGTAATTGGTTTCAGTGTCACTCCAGCAGTGTTTTGCTGCTAACTTATTTCTGGTGCCGCCGTCTGTTTTCGCGCATGCGCAGACTGAGAAATCTGAAAGAAATCAGAGTAAGAGTTCACATGCACTGAGAAATCTGATCACTGTGATAAAATCCAGCTCTCTTTATCTGATTTCTTAATCAGATTTCTAGATTGGAGTATGGTGTTTACATGACCATTTGAAAAATCGGATAACCGCAGAAATCCGATTATGATCGGATTATTGAGTGCATGTAAACGCACTCACTATTTCCTGAAAGAATCAGGCAAATATTCCCGATTTAAGACAGTATTCATCTAAAAATCTTCTCACACAAGATCATTTACATCTCATACATACAGACACACAATGTCTGAAAAAATGTATCATGTATCGTGAAAGTTTTCTCTACTCTGCTCAGGAGAAACTGCTGAAACTACTACCACATAGCTTTATGTGGCCCTGTGCTGTGTGTTACCTGTGCCTGCAGACCCTCTGATTCTCATTCACTCAGTCTGTGTGATCCCACTGTGACTGCGCATGATGCAAGAGCGAGTGTGTTTCTATATGTGTGTGTGAGGCAGGGAGGAAGTTAAACAGCTGTGGCAGTGCAGGGACGCTGCCTGCTTTTGGGTGTGTTCATGAAAAAAACATGAGCAGCTCGAACCTCAGGGAGCCTTTCTCCTCACAATCACACACTCCCACAGGTTTGTTTATACACAATTTCAGTACATGAAGTCATACATATGTCCCATACGTATAACGCAGTACTGTGCAAAAGTCAGAGACCAGTATCAGAAAAACAGAAAACATATATTTAACAGAAAATTACACAGAAGCCTCAATATTAATAAATAATATCATGTTTTTCAGTGTTTACTGCTTCCACCCTTTGCCTTTATTACGGCTTCCATGCGTCTAAAGCAGGGTTCACAACCCAAATATGATGGAGAGCCATTTTGTCCTTTTGACAAAAATCAAACCACCTTGACAGCCACAACATTTTATATCCATCTTTTATGTTTCAGTATGTGTTAATGTACTAATATAGGCTAAAAATACAATATTAACGAAAACACAGACTCACTTTGCTCAGCTTTAAGCTTTAGCTCAGCTATATCCGCTTTTCTCGCATCTCCGGCAGGAAACTTTTTCACGAAAGTAGAACAGTTTCTTGTAAAATGTTTCTCAACGTTTGACTTTTTTACAGGCCTGAGTCGCTTCTCGTTCATCAGCTTCTTGTTCGAATGCCAAAATTCAAGTGAGAAGCTGGCAAATGAGAAGCGACTTCAGCCTCGAGACTTTTTAGTGTTGGACAGTTTCTCGATGCAGATTAAACGTATCAGAAAACCGGCTGGGGTTATAAATGCAAATAAGTCCATTCATCTCCAAATTATCGATGTTCGTCTTAAATTGTTCTCTTTGCCTTTTCATTAGCTACTAGCTAGGTGTGATTGTTGGTCTGCGCTGGTGTCTGTGTTGCTATGGTGACCAGCAGTCTGCGCTGATCTTCAGGGTTAAAGGGTGAATTAGCAGTTCTGCATTAACTCCAGCGTTTAAGACCATTTATTGTTAAACTGTGTTGAACGATCAGCAGAGCTTTATTTTACTGTAAAAGGAGGATTATTTTATTTTTAGATTAAAAATCTAATTCTGCTGTGGAGCTGCAACAGGGCAGTAACAGAGCTGCATGTTGCTGACCCCTGGTCTAAGGTTCACTCTTAGAAGTTGGTTGCATTTTCTGCTTCTCACAATATTAGTAATGCCTAAAACATTCAATGCTGTTGAGGTCTGGACTCTCTGCTCTGAGAACACCAGCAGCTTCTTAGTTTAATTTGCAAATGTTCTTTATTTGTCTATTTCCTTTTCTCAATAAGGGCTTCTTGACAGCTACACATCCTTTCAGACCCACAGCGCTGAGTCGTCTTCTCACAGTGGAAGGATGGACAGAAACACCTGTGGATGTTTTCAGATCTAAAGCAGCTCGATTTTCTCCTCTCTCTCAAAGATGAAAGCTTTTATTGCTGTTTATCTGATGGGGGCAGTTTTGGTGTCTACCAGGTCTTACACAGCACTCAAATATCTCCTGTAATATTAATAATTTAATAAATAAACTAATTTTCTCTGATGTTTACACAGCACTGTAGCTGGCCAGTAACCAAATATGTAATTACAAAAATGCATTTAAATTGAGGTAAATGTAATAATTCTGTATTAATACAAGTCTGCTTGTTAGTGTGTGTGTGTATCACCGACTGAGGCTTCCTAACGTGGCCGGGTATGCAATGGCGCATTAAATCAAACAGGAGAGAGAGGAGATAACGCATGCTGATGTCACAGCGCCGGCCAAGGACAAAACCCAGAGACCCTGAAAACACACACACACACACACACACACACACACACACACTCCAGCAGGTGCTGGTTTCATTACCTGACACGTTCTTTGGGGTCACCGAACGACTCTTTGAGGTTGGAGAAGTCCGGGTAGAAATGGACTGACGGAGAGATAATCTCCAACAAACCTGACTGAATCTCCCCCGGAAATCTGAGAGAGAGAGAGAGAGAGAGAGAGAGAGAGAGAGACTAAAGATTAAAGACTATACAAATTATACAATTAATCATTATCACAATTCCCAGAGAGCAAACATCAATAATGAGGGAGACAGAGAGAGGAGAGAGAGATAAAGAGAGGAAAGAGAGAAAAAGAGAAGAAAAAACAAGAAAGCAAGAAAGAGAAAGGGAGAGAAAGAGAGAGACAGTCCAAAGGAAAGGAAAGAGAGAAAGATGAGAAAGAGAATCAGTACAACAGACTAACACGGAAAACAGTGATGAGGCGACTGAAAAAAAGCTGAAAATAGAGAGAAAATGACAAAGGAGTGCATGAACCAAAACAGCAAAGAAGAAGCAATCAAGTGTTTCACAGAGAGAATAGACAGATAGAGAGACACAGAAAAGAGAGAGGGACCGAGAGAGAGAGAGAGAGACAGAGAGAGATATAGAGACAGACTAAAGATTAAAGATTATATAAATTATACAACTGACCATTATCACAATTCTCAGAGAACAAACGTCAATAATAAGAGAGAGACAGAGAGAGAGAGAGAGAGAGAGAGAGAGAGAGATGAGACAGACAGAGAGGTAGAAGAGAAAAGGAGAGACAGACAGAGATAGGAAGAGGAAAAAGAGAAAAAGAAAAGAAAAAAAAACCAAGAGAGCAAGAGAGAGAAAGGGAGAGAAAGAGAGACAGACAAAAGGAAAAGAAAGAGACAAAGATGAGACAAAGAGAATCAGTGCGACAGACAGACATGTGAAACAGGCGACTAGTGTTTCACAGAGAGAGAGACAGAGATGGAGAGACAGAAAGACACAGAAAAGGGAGAGAGAGGGATGGAGAGAGAGAGAGAGAGAGAGAGAGAGAGAGAGAGAGAGAGAGATACAGTATTCAGGAACCTGTGGGGAAGCTTGGTTGCCGGGGTAACAGGAGCATCTATTGAACTAGAAGTGACAGAGCATTTTCCTACTCTCACACACACCATGAGTGAGCAGTAAACACACACACACACACACACACACACACACACAATTCCACACACGGTAATAACAAAGTCAAAAAGGCGTCACATATTTGTTTACCAATGAATGAACCGACGTACAGACGTTTACTTTAACATAACAAACAGAAAGAGCCTGAGTATTCTGTGTGTCTGTGTGTGTGTGTGTGTGTGTGTGTGTGTGTGTGTTTGTGTACAAGTTTGTATGGGCGTGTGTGTGTGTGCGCATGTGTGTTGTGTTTGTAACAGATGTTGAGATGTAGTAGTACTCACATCTGGAAAAAACAGAACACATAAGTGTACAAATATGCTGAAAACAGTGTGAGAAACCAACACACACACACACACACACACACACACACACACACACACACACACACACACACACACAATTCCACACACAGCCCTGGGCTGTGAGGTCAGGAGGAGAGTGAAGGGGGTGTGTCTCAGCACTCAGAGGAGCAGCACTTTCCCCTTCTGCCTCTCTTTAGAGTGTTGTTTTCTTGCACTCACTCACCATAAAGGCACAGAAGGAAAGTTTTAAGCCACATGGACTTTGTTTTGTGTGTGTCTGTCTGTGTGTGTGTGTGTGTCTGTGTGTGTGTGTGTGTGTGTGTGTGTGTGTGTGTTTCTGTCATCTCCACTTACAACAGAAATAAAACAGTTGGGTTACAGTGTTAAATGAGACAAGAATTAAACAGTAACAGACCGTTCAGAGGGGTGGCACACAACAGACAAATAGTGCAACAGTGTCTATGTGTGTGTGTGTGTGTGTGTGTGTGTGTGTGTGTGTGTGTGTGTGTGTACAAACTGCTTTTCAGGCCTCAAAAAGGGAAAGACACTCACTCATACACATACACACATATATTACCAGTCAAAGGTTTGGACACAATTGATTAAAAGTATGTTTTTCATCATTTCAATGACATAAAAGTCAATACTGAAATACCTGTTTCTTACACAAATATACACTAATTTCAATATCAGTTTTATGCTGATTTATCTTTATAGTAACATCTGCTGTTCTGTTTATCATTCTGGGCACATCTAACATTTCCTTTTCACATCTTCATACTAATTAATTGAAATGTGTGAAGCTGTGGAGCAGCAGCATCATAACAGAATCAGTTCATACATCTGTAACACTTCTTAATTGAAAACTGTGACAGTAAACTTTTGAAAACTAGTATAACAACACTGTAAAAATGAGAGGTCAGCTCAATTTACAACGATACAGCAACTGATTACATGGCTTTTCCTGATTTGACTCAACTTGAGGACACCAGAGTTCACACAACTCAGACTTCTTAGTTGAGTCAAAAATTCTCCCAGCTACTGTTTCTAGTTCTGCATCTCAGTTAGATAAACAAAACAATGTGTTTTTACTCAGTTTCTCCACTAGCTGGCGCTCCCTCTATCACACAGTCCCATCTGGCATATTTTCCTAATGGGCTTTAGGATATGGACAGCTGTGGTGTTGCTGGGATTCAAACTCACAACCTCCTGATGTTGGGTTGAATTATTAGACAGCTGCACCACATGAGACGACGCCATGCTTTAAAGTTAAAAGAACAAATATTTTTTCCAGTGTATTAAACATTTATAGACACAAAATCCGAGTTGCTTCATGTGTTCCTGAGTGGTGCAGTGGACTAAGCCATCACCCCAACAGGAGGTTGTGAATTTGAGCCCCAGCGATGCCGTAGCCATCCTTAAGTGTGTAGTCAAGAGGAAAAGATGTCGAGCTGGATTGTGTGAAAGAGTCCTGGCTGGTGGGGAAGTTAAGTATAAAAAACAAGTTTATTCTATTTACCTCACTGAGACGCAGAACTAAAAAATTAAGAGAATGTGTGAACTCTGGTGTCCTCGAGTCGACTCAAGAAAAGCCATGTAATCAGGTACTGTATCATTTTGAGTTGAGCTGATCATTTTTAACAGTGAAGTGACTTTTTTAAAAGGACTGTCCAATTATTTATACAATCAATCATATATATATATATGTAAAATTTACTAATTAACTAACATTATGTTCATCATGTGTACCTGAGCACGAAAATCAAATGATTTCCATGAGGTGTGAACAGTTTCCAATTTCAATCAACCCCATTCCAGTAAGAGCAACAGAGGCTGCATTTACCAACCAATTAGTGTATGTATTATATACAGTACTGTGCAAAAGTCTTAGGCATCTAAACACATTATTATTTTATTATTAGACATCATTGTATAGTTTTTGCTTGTAAATTCACCTTATATCATTATAATAAGTTCAATTTTCATTTGCCAGCATTTTTATGTACTTGAGTAATCAGATAACGGGGGAACTCCTGGGTCTACGAGCCGAGCAGTAATCAGATTTCTGCTTTACAACCAGCCAATAAACTCACAGAAGACAACGTGACTTTTTTTTTAAAACATTGTGCTACTTTACCTGAAACTATGAACATACATTATCTACAACATTAAAAACATTTAAATTCTTCATTTCGTCATGTAGTTGGTTTCAGTCCCACTGTGTTAAGCGCTGCTTGCTTAGTTCTGGTACCACGGTCTGTTTCACACATGTGCAGACTGAGGAATCGGAAAGAAATCAGAGTAAGGGTACACATGCGCTGAGAATTCTTAATTTGATCCATAAACTTCTGAGTATTCGAGCGTGCTGTTTACATGACCACTCAAATAATTAGATAACTGCAGAAATCTGATTACGATCAGATTATTCACTGCATATAAATGCACTCAATGTCATATAAAATCACTACTTATTGTATTAATGTTATATCTATTTATTCTAATATTAGTATTTTTCTGAGCAAATAAACACTTACTGACCAGATAAACAGCTTTTTACATTGTTCCAGGTGCCTAAAGGTTTTGCACAGTGCTGTATCATATTTACAGACAGCTCTCTCTGTCATACTGTATGTCTTGTTTCAAGAGTACTGTAGCTTTTCACTTTGCTATTGCTTTAGTTAGTTTTCTGCTTGTTGGGCTTTAAAGAGGAACTATGGATGGTTCGAAGGGTCAATGAAAATGCATTAACACTGTTTTTTAATAATGGTTTAATAATTTGTTGCATTAATATGTTAACACCAGTAATTTCACCCAGTTTTTCTTCCCATTTTACTCACTGTATTGTATATCTGATTAACTGTTAATTATCAAAATATCTGTCCTCCTTAATGAGCTTGAGCTGAGTTATCAGCTGTGTTGTGAGGTAGAGTGGATCTAAACAGCTCTTCGTGGCAATAGGTCAATATTTCTGACTGTATTAATTCCTCAGTTTTGACGTCTTCACTATTATCCAATAGTGAAAGTCGCACCAATAAAGAAAAAGCCTTTTATGAGCAGAAGTGTCAGACCTTTAACTGGTACTGTAAAACACAGCTCCATGGTGAGAATGATATTGACAGAGTACTCACAGGCGCTTGAGGTTGTCAGCCACACTGTTGGCGTACTGCTGGTCTGTCTGCAAAACAAAGGAAGCACAATGAGAGCGCAGTCTGTGTCCAGCTGAACCAGCACATTTTGTCCAGTAATTAAAGCAACACTTCAGGGCAAACAACATAAACTCGGCCCAATTTAGAGCCCAGTTTCCCTCTTCAAGTCAAACTACATTTAATTATTACTATACCCAATTCTTTCACCCGAAAGGATCAATCTGGAATTGGCAGATTCTGTTGCAAACATCTGATCGATCCAGAGATACGCTATATGGACAAAAGTATTGGGACACCTACACATCACACCTACGGGGGCTTTTATGAATCCCATTCTAAATCCTTAGGCATTAATATGGAGTTGTTCCCCCTTTGCAGCTGTAACAGCTTCCACTCTTCTGGAGAACTGGCCTCTGGGTGGGTAGGATAGCCCCCCTTCTCCCCCATCACCCAGCACAGACATCTATTAGCTGACGTAACAGATCTGGCGGTTGTTCAGCCATCTAAAGACGTTGCATTAGCAGCAGTTTGAAGAGATGCGGTGGAGCTTCACAGGTCTCGGAGGAAGCCTGTGCTAGCTTTCGCCCTCCTAGCACTGGTACCATCGTGTGACTGGGAGACTCTTATCTAGTGGGTGGAACTGGATACGACTAAATTGGGGAGAAAAAATGTAGGGAAAAAAAATCTCGTTTTCTTATTTTTTTTTGTTCTTCTGTTTTATTTTCATTGTTTTTTATGACTTATTTTGTGTATCTCATCTCTGCATATCATTCTGCTTCAGTGCACTGTCTGGGATGCTCTGCCGCTCTGCTTGTGCAGCCTGTGTGAAAGCGCTGACCGTATGCGCCGAAATGAAAATCAAGACGATCCGTGTCGCTCACGCCACACAGAGGTAGTACGTGTGAAACAGGCTTTAGAGTCCCAGTATTGGCTGATCCCCTCACTGAAAATCAGAAATCAAATCACTCTCACAAAACCTGATCAGTCCACCTCTGCTTTAGTCTGTGGTAAGTCTGTGTCTGAGAAAGTGAGGTAACACACACACACTCAAACACAGGATTCACAAAGAGGACCACAAAGGCCAAGCAAATTCCAGGCCGACCAAAGCCGACCGTGACCCGCCGGCTGCATCATATCATCGGCCTTTCCCAGAAGCGCTCTGATTGAATAAGTCATTGTTTTCTGGCCGACCAGAGAAAGTCCAGAGACGGCAGAGAGAAAACGACAGAGGAAAGAAGAGATCAGAGGAAGGACAGGAAACACCTGGAGTCATTTCGACCAAATCCGTCTTTTTTACGGAGAGAGATAGAGAGCGATACAGAGAAAATAGAAAGATATTAAGACAGAGAGAGGGAAGGGGATTTGTCACAGGAGGGCACAAAAAAACACGCAGCTCATTTGTTACGAATAACGGTTTTGTCACGAAACTGAAAAGGCGGCGTTCCCCTGACGCAGGTCTGTCACGACAGAGAGGGAGAAAGAGAAAAGCTCTTTTCTGCTCCCGTTTTTAGCCAAGTTTAGTGCACCAAACAGACAGGAGGCAAAAAAAAAACACTTCAGCATAACTGTGAGCCCAGAGATGAGAGGGAAGAGACGGAGCTCTACTTCATCTGCATGGCAAGGACGAGTGAATGACTGGTAGAATGAAAAAGAGAAAAAGAGAGAGAGAGAGAGAGAGAGAGAGAGGGGAAGGGAACCCCTGACCCTCCATCTCTCTCAAGGCCGTTACGTTTTCTAAGACAAATGCAAAAATAAACACACACACACAGCTGAAAGGTAGTGAGCTGGGTTTCACTGCTAAGAAAGAAAGAAAGACAGAAGTAGAAAAGTCTTTGAACAAAAAAAGGTTGGATAAAGCAAGAGGTAAAACCAGAGTGAATATCGATGTGGTTCTCCAATGGTAGCGAAACCTGAGGGAGTTGAAAGGCTGGAAAGTGACACCAAGGTTGCTATTTTTCTGTTGGACAGGTAATTATATGGTTTGTTTTGTTTATGGGGGAATCTGTTAGTTTCTAACATAGCTAGCTACTAATGTAGCTGGATTATATACTAGTCCAATGTTAGCTAATGTTGGCTAAGCTGTAGATGTTTATTTTGTATGATATCTCTGTGTGGATATGTTCATATGCCGTGCACAATCATGTGTTTTGGCGGAATGGAGGGCTGGAAGTAGAGGGTGGGATTGTTTTCAGTTGCAATTTTCAAATACTAGGTTACGGCCTCCCGAGTGGCCCCATCATCAGGAGATCATGAGTCCGATCCGTGGTGATGCTATAGCCATCCATGGCTGGGAGTCCAAGACAGCACAATTGGCTTGATGGACCCCCATTCCCGCCCCATCACCCACCATGACGCTAGCCAGTGCAGGCATCTGTTAGCTGACGTAGCAGACCTGGCGGTTCATGCTTTCCTCCGAGTGTGTTCAGCTGTCCGATGACGTTGCATTAGCGGCAGTTCAAAAAGATGCGGTGGAGCTTCACAGGTCTCAGAGGAAGCCTGTGTTAGCCTTCACCCTCCCTGGTTTCCTGGCTCCTACAAAATCTCCCACTCCAGCTTTAAAGCAAACGCTCAGATCGGAATTCAGGGACTTTTTTCTCCTTCATTCAGTGTTAATGTGACAGCAGCGCCTAATCTAAAGTTAGAGCCAGTTAAAGCGATGCATTTGACTCTTTTTCGACTTGCTCTAATAACGAACAGCTGAAAGATGTTTAGAGTGACTCATCTGTTCTGCTGGTTAGTTTGTTGCTCAAGAAGCATGTCGTTCCTTCACGTGACGTTTTTGAGTTTTTGATGTGCGCACTTGTTTCAGGACACAGGTTCGTTTACATTAATGACAGATGTGAGACACTTAGACCCTGTCCACACCCGGTCACTTCATTTGACTAGTATCCAGATAAGCATCCTGAATAGGTATCCTGATAAGATTTTAGCAACATGCATTTACACTTGGTAATCAAATGCCTCTCTGGTTAGACAGACTGAAATCTGATTGCTGTTTAGGACAGAATAGGCAAATCTGCTCGTTACACAGCAACAAATTACCAACTGTTTATCTGTTATCTGTTATCAGCTTCTTCATCTGCAGCAGGGTAAAGTCCCTAAAGCACAGCCTCGTGTGCTTTTACAAACTGGAAAACCTCGACACACTGACACACAGTACAATCTAGGTGTGCAGTCAGATGAGTACATTAAGTATTTTATAGTGAATTCAAACCTGCCTCAGCTTCGCTCTATAACTGCTGATTCAGAGATTATGAAGAAATGATAAAACACATGCACGTTTCAAAACATCAGATTTCATGTACTAAAGAAGTTCTGCAGAGACGAGACGATGGTTCATTCTGTCTTTGGTCTGTTTAGACGTCTCTGGTCCATTCTGTGTTCATACATCAAACTAACTGCATCAAACTCAGACCTGCTTAGAGGGTCTCAGCCCACTTATGTGGTGCGCACCAGAGTTTGGACTCTATTTGCTCTAATGAACTGCACAGAGCCATCGCACCAGAGTTCGTTTTAACCGAGCCAAACCTGCCAAGTCTGAACAGCCCCCCTACCACACACCCACCCCCCGCCCCCCATCCATGACTGCCAAGGGTTTCAGGGCTTAAAAAGATGCTTAAAATATTAAGCCCAGCTCCAAAAGTTAGTATGTACATTTACATATTTGACCTAAGATTAAATAATACTTTCCCTTATGATTTCTCTGATTTTTCTTTACTTATCTTGTTGCATTGTCACTTTGCATCTGTAAAACAGCTCATCACAAAACCAATTTTCAACATTTGAGAAAACATTTTTTAATACAAAATAACATTTCTAAGAGTTTTAACTTCAGAATTTGTATAAAACAGATTTATGTTTACTTTTTTATATAATTAACGCTATAGTACATTTACAAAATATGTATTTTATTAAAAAATTCATTGTCACAGAGATTGTGGTCACTGGTGTTAACAGGACTCTTATGTTACATTTTAACACAGTATTTTCAGCTCTATTAAACGGCTTCTTTGGGTCGAGTCTCATCAGAGAGGAAGCGTCTCAAGGCATGAGAAGGTGAGTCCAGACTCGCTCACTATATTTCATTCATTTATTAATAATTTTGTTCATCAGGCAGCACAAAATGTCTATGTGTCATCAGTGTTATGAGCTTTAATGGCTGGGTAACTCAAATTTTGTCAAAATAATGACAAATTTTATTTTTATTACTGATTTTAAACAGTTGCAAAAGCTCACCTGACAATGAGTCAGCCAATTTACAGAATCCTCAGTTTTAACCCGAATGTCACTGGAGTCACCGTCACTGGTCTTATACCATATTCATACAACACCAGTGACTGTAAAATATGTCTGGAATGAAGCTCTCCTTTCTGTATATATGATAATAGGACAGGTTAATGGACATACTAAGATTATTTAGTTTTGGGATGAAAGAAATTGACTGTTAAAGAATGTCTCCACCTGAATTCCCACTCCAAATGGAGAATGACCCATATTTGTATGCGTATTTAACTCTATTTACCAGTTTCAAGCTGGAATTCATTACAGGAAACTCTAAAACTTCATTTTTTATTATGTAACGAAAAAATTCTGCATTTTCTTTCATCAAGCCAAAAATCAAAAGCGCCATTTTTAGCTATATTTGGCTGCTGAAATCTTACAGCATTCCTAGTAATTCCATGTGTTACTTCACAGCTTCATAGCCCTCCTGACCCCACGGGACATCCTGAGCAGCTCTGAGGTGGGTCGGACCGGCCCATAAATCCTTCTCCGTCAACAAAAGCATTGTGTTTAACAGAGCCATTAACCGATGAATAAATCATCAAGCAATTACTGGGTCACATGGTCACGCTTCGCCGAGGGACGAAGGGCAAATGGCAACAGCTTAAACCCACTTTTCATTAGAGCTGCTGTGATCGTGAAAAACGACATGAATCCCCTCGTTATTAATCAGACAGGCTGCGAGGCCCATCGACGAGCAAAGCACTGAGTCATATCGCATTTTCACAAACAACGAGCCATTCAGTGC